CCTCGGTAGAGTGCTATGGCATCACAGATCACAGCAACCTCAAACTCTTGGGCTTAAAGGATTCTCTTGCCTCAGCCTTGCAAGTAGCTGGGACTACAGGCACCTGCCACAACACCTACCTATTTTTTGATGGTAGTTGTCACTGTTGCTTGGCAGGCCCGGGCTGGATTCGAACCTGCCAGCTCCAGTGTATGTGGCTGGCGCTCTGGCCGCTGAGCTACAGGCATGGAGCCAGTTTTTAAAATAACTTTATGCTGAAAAGTGTACTAAGTACACTTATATATGTTCTCCAGTTCTTTTATTACAGAAGAAACCGGGGCTTTTATTCCTTTCTTTGCTTTTTTTTTTTTTTGAGACAGACCTCACTATGTCACCCTTGGTAGAGTGCTGTGGTGTCACACTCACAGTAACCTCAAACTCTTGGGCTTAAGTGATTTTCTTGCCTCAGCCTCCCAAGTAGCTGGGACTACAGGTGCCTGCTGATCTGGGCCAGGCTAGAACCCACCAGCCTCAGTGTATGTGGCTAGTGCCGTAACCACTGTGCTACAGGCACCGAGCCTCTTTTTTTTTTGAGACAGTGTCTCATTTTGTTTCCCCCAGGAGAGTGCCATGGCACCACAGCTTACAGCAACACCTAACTCTTGGGCTCAAGTGATTCTCTTGCCTCAGCCTCCTGAGTAGCTGGGACTACAGGTGCCTGCTAGAATCCCTGGATATTTTTAGAAATGAGGGTCTCGCTCTAGCTCAGACTAGTCTCAAACTCGTGAGCTCAGGAAATCCACCTGCCTCAACCTCCCAGAGTGCTAGAATTACAGGAGTGAGCCACCATGCCAAATAACTTGTATAGAGAGAATTCTGGTTAAAATAATCTGAGAAGACATAAAAATCTTTCTTCCTACTCCAAGCAATACAAATGCTGCAGAAAACCAAAATTTAAGCTCAAAAAAGAAAGAGAAATCATTAGGTACCAGAAATAAAGAGGGAACCCACACCAGGTAACAGATGAAACTGGGCAGAGACCAGAACTCAACAGCAGCCCCAGCACTGAGGTATACCACCAACCAGAGACAGAAATCTAGGTCACAGGTGCAGGACACAGCTGGGAGTGCCATGCTATCCACATAGAAGTATCTCAAAGTGTTCACCGACCTTGGCCAAGACAAGCTACCTGCTCCAGGCTAAGAGTATGAACACTGTCCCTCATAAGAGAACACTTTGGGCAGGTGCAGGGACCAAGTTCATGTTGTCCTCATAAAAAGAAATCATGAGGCAAGAAATTACATTAAA